TGTTATAAAATAAATGTTAAATTCAAATTTGTTTTAGCTTTTAATATGTTTGAATTTAATAAAAAACTGTAAAATTATTAAACTTTTAATTTCATATCCAAGTTGGCTTTACTGTATGGATGGATTTTCATTTAAATTATTTTACAAAACCAAATGAATTCGTTTTCTCCAAATTAAACTCAAATTTATATATAAATTTTCAGTGTTTTTATTGTGCCTGTTTTTTAATTTGTTTCGTTTTTTCTGCATATATAATATATAATAAATGTATATAGTGTTATTTTATTTACATGCTGCACTTGTGAGAAATTTTGGTAAATATAATTACGCACACATACACAGATTTTGAAAAGTATTTTCGAATTCAGCAGCACGCCAAAATCGTGCTAAAAATATTTGCAGCTTGTTAAACACATCGAACGAAATAACAAATTGTCATCAATCTATTGTATTTTGCTTAAAACATTGATTAGCTGAACTGTTATTTAATCTTTTATTCGGTTGTTGAAATTTTAAATATAATTCGATTATATTCGCAGCTTCCTTTGCGCATTAGGCGCTAATTGGTTGTACGTTAAAAAACCCGTTTTCACAGTTATCAAAAACTTTTAAATATTTTCATCGGTCAGCATATTTTATTATTATTAATAAAAGCTATAACTTTAGCAAACTACATACTATGTAAATTTGTGTGCTGTAACTGACCAAAAAAGATCCGCGCCCACGCGATCGTAGAAGCAACGAGCTATGCGCCGTTGTCGACTCGTACTGAGGAATAATAGTTTTGAACGCTCTGGGCTGTGTCGCTCATCATTGGATCTATTATTAAACAATGCTCAGTGCTCAGTGTATGCTCTTTTTATAAGAATTCCAAGCACGCAGCTAATGTGTCGGCTCTCAAAAGCTCAGCTAAGAGATTGAGTGTGTAACTATTTCAAGCTTCGCTTTATTAGCCAACCGTTTCTTTCTACTTACTTTTGAGCTTTTCATATATCGTGACAGTTATATTTGGAAATTGAATAGTCGTGTAAACATATCGATAACTATGTTTAATATTATGTTAACAGCACCAAATTGAGTGAGGAGTACCAATGTGCGTGAGCTTAACAGCGAGCAATACTGTTTATCTAACAGCCACACAACAAGTGAGTTCTTATTTTTATATAAACACAAATATAAAATTTAGCGATTTAATAATAGAGAATTTATGTTTTGCAGTGCTGCAACGCTTGTATAGTGCACAATGTCTAAGATTTCCCATGTCATATTGTGTGTTCAAAAGCCGACACTATGCAACAATACAAAATCCAACGTCAACAACAACAAATGCCGGGAGATCCTCGCCTTTGGGAGCTGCCTTTACTGATTGGCGACCCATATATCGGTTACCCTTAATACGACTAGTAGCTGCATTTAATCGCCTTAAAGTCTATCAGGCAATTGTAACTGCGGCTGGAACACCGCTCGTTCTTGCTTTGCAACATGCGGGTCACGTCTCGGGCGAGGCGCTGGGGATTTATGCAGCCATTGGCGTCTCCGGTCTGATGACACTCTCGCTGGGCAGCTATGTGACCTCAAACATAATTGGCTTCATCTACATCAACAATCAGGAGGATCAGTTGAAGCTTGCCTACGTAGACTTCTGGGGCCGACGCAAAGAATCGCTCGTCGATATAGAGGATCTGTTGCCAGATTGGGAGCCAAAGAGCAAGCGACGTTTAGGCTTCTATCAGCCCATCTGCCTGCGCACCGATGAGAAGCAGCGCTACAAGCTTCTGCATCGTTTCGGAGTTGTAACAGACCCTCTTCTATTCGAGGGTCTCTTCGGTCAATGATGCGAATCGTGTGTAAATGATTATTGGCCCGTTTCAATTATAAACATGTGTATATATAAATAATTTAATAGTTTACAATTAAAAAACATAGTTTGAGCTACAAAGCAAAAATTTTTAGGAATATCGAGTATTGTGAACCAAATTATTAAGGCACTTACTAATAGCAAAGATTCATACGTACGTACTAAAAGTACAAATTCAGATGCTACATAAAAATTACAAACAAGTCTAATGCTTCTACTAGTGCTTTGTACTAAATGAGAAAGTATTCTCTCCAGGATACGCCTCATCCAATTATGGACTCATGCTGTTGCCCGTGGGAGGATGTGCAATTGTCGCTTGGATTCAGAGCGGATCGAGTCTTGCTGCCCAAGGCAATAGCCTCCGCAACCTATAGAGAAACATGTATATGAGTATAGGTTCCATTTAGAGAAACACAACGTTGGCTAACCCACCGTGTCGGGCAGCTTCTTGTGAAAGGTTTCTGGCAGCAGAAACGATAAAAGACCTGCGGCCATTGAAATTGCCCCGAATAATAGCAAAGGCAACGGCTCGTAGTAGCTTCCCTAAAATGGATAATAGTATTAATTATTTAACCGCAATAAGGTTTATCGTTAGTAATAGTTGAACACAAACCAACAAGGGCACAAAGGGCGCCAGCATGGCACCAAAACGTGCAAAAGTGGACATTACGCCCACTCCTCCGCTGCGTATGACCTGAAAGAGATTGAAAAGAGGAAATGATCAACTGAGCCGTAAATATCTGAATATTGATTATTTCTCACCGTAGGCATCATTTCCGCCGTATACGTGTAAATTACGGCAAACGACGAGGTAATGCCCAGCTTGCCCGTCAAAAAGAGCGTTACGATCAGCCAATTGGCACCTGTGGAGCAAGGAGATATACTTAATTATGAAAATCTGTGGAGCGCATTTGTTATGTGGATAAAACAAAATAGATAGACAAATAAAATATAAATTATTTGTTTCCTTAGCTTACTGAAATACAGTCAAAACTCTTGAACGAACACTTGAATAATACTTCATTTTCGAATTGGTTTAAAATTATCTAACCCAAATATTTGAAGTTTTGTAAAAGTCAATGAGAATTATTCGTTCATAGAAGTTTCATTCTATAAATTATACATTTTCAAGGGTTTCTTTACGTTTCTGTTTTTCGTCACAAACTGTGCAGGCATGTAAGGAGGGTTAAGAATAGTATATATTATTAGTATATATACATACAAATATGTATATAGTCTTATATGATAGTTGATGGCATACCCGTCGTCAGATAACCGCTAGCTGCGCACGTGACGGCGCAGAGCAGCAGCGAGCCGGACAAAGCCAGACGACGTCCGAGTTTACGTAGGCACAACTATTTTGGGTGCGACAATTAAAGAAAGACCGAAAGTATATAAATAGGCATGATTTTTGATGCGAGTATATGCAGGCATATATAGTAGAACACATCGATAACGTACCCATGCCAAGCTATAGCCGGGTATCTCGATCAGGCAGACCAGTGCGAAATTCAAATATTTGTTGCCACTGAGGTTGGTCGAGTTCAGCGAGAGTCCATAGAAGACAATAGCGTTGACAGCCCTAGGGAATGCATATGCGATTAGAGGGATAGCTCGCATCTGATAGGAATAGATATTACCATATGAACAGCAGGATAACGTAGCGTCCAACCAGCTTTCTGGAGCTAAACACCTGCTTCACGGATGGCCAGATCTCGCGTTGCTTTTGCTGCTTCTGCAGTCGCTCGTGCTTATCGGAGCTGCTGTCCGCGGCATCCAGCTGCTGCTGCTTCAAGCTGGCCATCAGCTCCAGGGAGAGCTCGCGCTGATTAACGTGCGCCGCCCGCCTAATGATGTTGCCCGCCTTGACGTGCTCGTTGCGCGCCAGCAGCCAGCGCACCGACTCCGGCACCAGCCAGAAGTAAACGACGAAGAACAGCGGCGGCACAGAGAGCGCGTACTGCAGAACCTGCCAATTGGACAGCAACCAGGCAGCGAGGCCCAGGAGCGCCTCGCCCACCGCATAGAAGTAGTTGAGCACAATGGAGGTCATTTCCCGTTTGCGTGGCCCCACCATTTCCACGCCTATGATGAAGGCCAGCGGATAGACACCGGATGTGCCCACTGCATTAAGCAAGGCGAAGACCAGGAAGCTGGAGTAGTCCCAGGCCAGGGCCTGGCCAATGCCCGTCAAGCCCATAAAAATGGTGCAGAAGAGAAAGATCAGCTTCCGTCCGAATCTGTAAAGAGTCAATGTGCCAAATGTGTGAAACGGAAGCGGGGTTAACTAATGAGTACCAACGACCCCAACGCCGCTGCCGCTAATCAGCGCGACCCCAAATGAGTTGCTCTAAAACAACTGCTACTACAACTACTTTTAAGTAGCGGGAAATTCCCTAGCCATGACTCACCGATCGGCTAGATAGCCAAAGAGGGCTGTGCCGATCACCAGCCCGGCGAAGTGGGTGGTGCCGACGAAGGCGAGCTTCCAGGCGTTCTCCTTGCACGTCAGCTGCCAGTCCTGGACAATGGTGTACTCGCCCGTGTCGTAGACGAACTGCTGGCAGCGCTGCGTCTGCTGGGGCAGAAACCATGAGGCGTTGCACGTGTCCCACTGATGGAAGAGGCTAGCATTTGCCGCAAAGCGCACACACGGGTCTGTGGGCGTGAAATGGCCGTGCTTGTCTCTTGTGCCCGGAATGGCCACGTCCAGCCAATCGGTCTGGTAATACGGCTGTTTGTTCACCTCACATTCCTCGATGCGGCAGCGATACTTCGGCGTGCCGGCCGTAAATACATACGACAGACTGTTTGCGGCCGCAAAGAGCACCGGCAGACAGATGAGCAAATAGTTCACTCTCTGGTACCGCCCGAACTCGCCAATTTGGCTGAGTATCTCGTCGAAGTCCATCGCAGCGTCTGATTGTGCCATTCTCAATTCGATGTCGATGTTTGTCGATTGTTTGTCGATTTTTCGAAATGGCCAACGTACTTTTCTAGAGTTTAACGTGACTTGTGCGAAAAAGAAATCCAGTTACTTTCGTGATTCGCCGCCGACGGTCACGTGTGCGTTTGTCCCGTATTTTACTCTTTACTCAAATAAATATAGACACAGCGTGAAGTGTTTTTGGCTCTAGTGATGAACTCTGCAATGAGAGAACGTTGAGGAATCTGTATTGTGTACAACAAATCAAAAACTAACAAATTGCCCTTCGGACGTGCATTAAGTCAAAACTGGATATTTCTGTAATGTGGTTGGCAGCACTATCAAGCACACTGCACTGATTGTCTAATGCCCGTTTACAAGGGGGGCGAGAGAGCTTATAGGCGAGCGTGTGTGTGTGTGTGTGTGCGTGCTTGATGGGCATCCCCAGCTGAGCGTATGACGTCGCCGCACAAGCAAAAGGCTCTCTCTTTTCCCTCTTCCTATTGGAAAATCTAGTCTCTTTTGCGTATTCGTATTGTTGATACTTGATGTAAATTGATTTTAGTGTTAACTTTGCTCACAGTTAAAGTTCTCATCTGTTAATTAATTTGTTTATATAGACATTATGACATTTTAAATTGCCCATTTGAACTGGATAGTATTTATTAATTATTTGCTTTTTTTTTATCGGAATATCTGGCTGATTTGTTGAAGCTTGCAATTAGTTAATTAATAGTGTTGATATTGATAATACTAGTTTTACTTGTTATCTGTCAATTCTTTTGTTCAAATATATATCAAGAGGTTTTAAAATGCATTTATGAATTTAAAAAGATTTTAAAAATACTACTTGATCACTGAACAAGCCTTAGATACATACATATGTATATTTATTAATTTAATGTATATTCGTGAACGCATTTCCTTGGCGCCGGAGCAATTACTGGAATATATTCTTGTTTGATTGGGAATCCGGTCTGAGATCTGATCTATCTATGCTTGTTTAAGTTGCATGTTAAGGCGCATGCAATTGTGGCCAATTGATACAAATTGTTGCATGTTGCTACAGTGGCTGTTTGTAACTATGCATCACTTGGGCTTTTAACGTTTCACGGCATCTTCAATTGACGTAATCTATACCGGTTGCTGCTTTACAGATCTTATAACGGAACACCGCCAATGACTGAATCAATCAATCGATTGATCATCAATGCATTACTAGGGATATCTTATTTTTACCCGTTTAACTTTTCATTATTTACGACGGAATCGTATTATTAGCCAATTCAGCATATTTATAATGTATGGACTTCATGGGAACTTTAGCGGTTTGTGCTATTAAATGTAGCCTTGATGGATTTCAAAGGTTATCTGCATGCCGAGTCTGCATTAGCCGGTGATAAGCCGATTGCGCTTTGCAAGCCCGTTGGAATTATCTTATCGTCCAAAATACGCTGCACTCGTTTGCCATCGGGAAGTTCTCTCCCAATAACGGCAAACAGAAGTTTTTGTTGCCGCGAAGTTTTCCCTGAAACACTTGTCAGCTGTTTACGCTACCTGTAGCCGTTGCTTGTTTAGGGCACAATTGTTGACAATAATGTACCGCACGATGCTACGCTTGGCAATGCACTGAAATGTCTAAAACGATTCACTAACATCGCAGTGCTGTGGACGATAGCTTCGCCTTGCCTGTGTATTAGTAAGTTTGTGTAGTTCTGAGTGCATATCAAGACGCCGGCAAACTGAAAATCAATAAACATAGCTAAGAACGAGGCGCACCGCAGTTAAACAAATAAAGCGACAGAGTGAGAGAGGGAGCGATAGAGGGAAAGAGAATGCGAGCGCTTTTAAAGAACAATGTAAAGAGCGCCAAAGCTACCAAACGCATTTTGTTTCTGAGAGGAGCTTTTGATCTTTTTTTGTTGTTATTAATATGCGCGCGTATCTCGAAAGCTCTCGGTTATTTAAAAGGAGACAAAGTAAATTCAAGCAAATCGATATAGCAAAAGCTTATGGTATAACTGTCAACTTTAATATTATTGGGATTGCCCATATGATTTTACCTAACTAATTAAGATGTACAGATATATTTGTATATACATACATATATGAATATATACATACAATATGTATGCATACATATTTGCAAAATAGACTACCTGGAAATTTGATGTACGTACGTACGTATGTTAATCAAATTAATTAAAGTGCATTCGTCCGAACTAATTGAGATTTAGTTATATCGATATTGAATACGTTCATTCATTGGATCAATACAAAAATAATAGTATTTCTTTGTTTACATACATAAGTTGTATGTATGTTTCCCAGTACCCGAGTAGTTCCATACTGCTCTCTGATGGCAATAAGTATGAGTAATGATCTGGGATATCTGCACAGAGGGCATTTTCCCCACAGCTGCAGTCGCCGTTGCACAAGTGAGCGAGAATTGAATAAAACTCAACTAAAGTTAACGGATAAAGCTCCTCCACTCTGCAAAAGTTTGCTCGCCCAGTCAGTTTCTTCTAGAACGTCTGCGTGACTGGAGGGCAGAGCCTCAAGTGCACTTGAGAAGGGGCGAGAAAAGAGCGCAAAACGGCTATAGAAGGGACAACAAAATGTTTGCTAAAAATAAGATAGCCTTTGGTAATGCCAGCACCGTATCGAGCGATATGGCTGTGCAAAACTCGGCAACAATTGATAGCAACGCTTGCCTGATGGTGAATCCCAGCCAGTTTGTCCGAATGCCCTTGGCCGAAAATCAAGGACTCGCTAATGCCAAGGTGGAAAGGGCCACCGATGCACAACCCTTTACAAGCCCTAATCCTAGGACAGGTGCCGTGCCCAAATATTTTGAACAAGGACAAGAGAGCTCCATGGAGACACAGGCGGCAAGTCCCCTAATACCCAAAGCCGAGCAGAAAAGGCTGGAGCCCGCAGAGGTTGTCATCTTCAACAATTCGCTCCTCGACAACAACAAGTTCCATTCTGGCAGCATCGACGACATCGAACATTTGATGGCAACCTTTGTCGGACTCAAATGTAAAATGACAATCTTTCCGGATGCAACGGTCGCTGATGTCAGGAGCACTATGCAAGCTCGTGAGTCCAATTTGAAATGTGTCTGGTCTCTGCGGTGATATGAAGGGGGAAGAATGTGTACGACTCACGACTTGACTCGATTTGAATCGAAAGGTCTTCAAAGTTTTCAACTCATTTTACGATTGTTGCATGAAATTGTTATTTGTAGGAATTTGATTATTAGAATTATCATAATCATTGCTCTCACAATTTTGAGAGTTGAAAACGTATAATCGCATTGTCTATCCCACCATATTTCCTCATATTATTCCAATTGCTCAAATCGGAATATCAAGATATATATATTTAGATACATACATTCTAATATACAGTGGAAGAGAAAAACTTGGAGGACCGGTCAGCAGTTTTGGTGGTCATCTTGAGTCTGTGCCACCAGTACGAAACAATAGCCGCCAGAGATGGAGACTACAATATCGATAATGAGATCATATTTCCACTGTTGCGCAACAGAACGCTGATCAACAAGCCGAAAATGCTTTTCGTTCAGGCAACCAAGGGCTCCAGGGAGCTGGAAAAATTCTGGGAAGATACAGATTCAGTTAAGGTGAGATGAATGTCATTGATAGAGCAACTATAATCCTCACATTTACCTCAGCCTCATGGTGCGCCCAGCGACATATTAAAGTGTTATTGCACCTATGAGGACTTCGTGTCCTATCGGAATTCCACTGGCGCGCCCTTTATTCGAGAGCTCTGCAATACGCTAAGGTCCAATCCAAATGTTGATATTGAGAGCATTGTAAGAGAAGTCACACAGGGTGTTATGGGCTCTACCCAGTGAGTCTAATTAGCCTACGGAATCGCGCCTTCCTGAGTGCTAATGGATCTTGTCTCTATTACAGCGATTGCCCAGTACCGTTGACGACTAGTACAATGACTACCAAATATGCTTTTGGAGATTTTATCTGAACACGTGAAAGATATAATCTGGCTATCGCCGAACCGAATGAGAGAGACAGGGTGGAAATCTACGCGCTGAACTCAAGAAAAAAATATTTTTTAGTTTGGAAATTATTTTCTCTTTATTTTGTGTAAATTGAATTATAGTTATTTATTGAATTATTTAAAGAATTGAAAGTAATGTTAATCATGTCTATTGCTTCGTATAGGTATTAAGTGCCTACATTGTTTATTAAGTGTTTCATCTGAGATTAATGCTTGGTTGTAATGTAATTGCTGCCGATCGTAATTTATACACATTGTGCATGTTGCTACAGTGGGTGCTTGTAAGTATGCGTCATTGGGGATTTAACGTTTTACGGCATCTTCAATTGACGTAATTTACATCAGTAGCTGCTAGACGAATCTTAAATCTCTTATCAATGCATGAATAACTCAATCAAGCAAAATATGACTAAAGATTTTTTATTTTTCCTTTACGATCATAGACTTTATAGGAGCCTTAGCGGTTTGTGGCATTAAATATGGCCTGATTAGTTTGAACGGCTCTCTGCATGGCGAATGTGTGTTTGCCAGATGGGATTCTCTTATCAGGCGCGATTGCACTCGTTACTCATTTGAAGAGGCGGTCAGTCTAAAATTATCTCAATGAAAGTCGTCCGCTGCTTACGTCACCTGTAAATGTAAACTGTTTAGGACACAGGTGTCGAAAACCTACCTGTGCATGAATATGCTGCACTCGAGAGAGAAATAGAGACTGAGAGAGATGGAGGGTATTTCTCTTTTATGAAGAGCAATGCAGCCAATTAAGTTTTTTGTTTGTTTACGGTGCTTTTGAACTTTTTGTTTTTTATTATTATTATTATTTATTACGCGCGCGCGTATCATGTATGTTCTTGGAAATTTGATTTCGTGTTGTTGGAGACAATGACAAGATATAAACAAAGAGAGCTTCCAAATTCATATACATGCATACGTATGTACATATGTATGTAGGTCCAGATGTATTTACATACATATGCAGGTTTAATTGAAATTCCTATTTAACAAGTTTGCTAAAGGGAAGTGTCCAAACAGTCATTTGAAGTATACATATGTAGATATGTATATACATAATTAAATCTTCTGAGGAAGTGCATGTATTATGTGATTACTCGATATATTTTCATATATTGTATATGTATATCAATCAATATAATAAATGTATATACTAAATGTATGTCCATATACACATATGTATGTATGCATACATGCATATATATCTACGTAGAAGTCCGAATGACTTAGTGCTTCTTAATATATATTTAAACATACATATGTACGCTGCAAAAGCTTTCGTGCGCAAGCGTTTATCGCTTAAATAACTTCAACCATGTTGAGGGAGCTTTCGCTTTTATGACAAGCCCAATAACATATAACTTACATATTTGCTCGTATAACCCGGAAACCGGTTGATATGCCGATTTTAATAAAGTAATTCTTATTGAGGTATTCATATATTCATTTCATTTATTAAGCTTTCTTTTTTTGGGTCAGTGGATAAAAACTGTAAGAACAGTTCCATATGTAATTTTGTCTTTTGTATTTTACAGATTTTGGGCTTGGGGTTACCCGTAGGTAAGGAGATTTCCCCACTCTCCCATTGATAACGCACTGCGTATGATTAATAATCGGCCCAGCTGTTAGATGCACACTTTACACTCCGCTGCAGTCCACGACGTAAATGAGAGTAAATGAGGTGAATAAAACTCAGCAAAACTTATTAAACAGAGCTGCGTTATCGGTGCAAAAGCTCGTTTGCCATTCAGTTTCTCTCAGAACGTCAACGAGCACAGAACGTGTCGCGCGCATTGCAGTTAAGAAAAGAAAAGAATAAGAGCCAAGTATAGAGTGAGAGAGTGAGAGAGAGATTGACTGGGAGACAGTGCGAAACCAAAAGGATTGTGAGCGAAAGCGAGAAGGCGAAAATGGGCTTGTTTAGCAAAAAGAAGCCCAGCAATGATAGCGCCAGCTCGGATTCCAATAACGACCAGGCCCTAGCGCGGCAGGATCCACGCACTCGGGTGCAGACGAGGAGCGCTGCCAGCGTGACGACCAACACGGCTGTGCAGAACTCCACGATCATTGATAGCAACGCAAATACAGTAACGTATCGGTCGACCACACAGACAGTGACTCACAGCCAGAAAGCGTGTGTGACGGAAATGATAACGCGCCGCACGCCGAGCCAGGCCGAACTGGAGGAGCTGATGGCACAGCTGAGGACGGGCAGCCGGGCGGGTAGCAACTCGACCTCCACAACGACAAGCAGCAGCAACAAACGCGTTAGTCCAACCAGTCTGAATGGCGTGGCTTTGCGTTCGACCACATCGTTCAAGCCCAACGCGGAGGCCAGGAGATCCAGCACTCTGGTCAAGTCGGAGCAAACATCTGTGTCGCAGAAGAAGGGACGCACTGTCACTCAGCATGTGGAAACCCAACGGGTGGTGCTGAGTCCCAGCAGCAAGACTAGCTGGCCGCCCAAGACTACTGCCTCAACTTCTGGCGCCAGCACATCTGCATACAAGCCGTATGTGTCGCCATTCGCGCTAAAGCCAATCGATTCAACCTATGTATCGCCCTATGCATCAAAGACGACCACTGGAATCGGCTCTGCTTTCTCTAAGCCCTCGGTAGTTACGTCGTCAGCGCTGCCCAAGACTTCGGCTAGCAGTTCTTTTTCCTCCAAGCCCACAACAACCAGCTTTGTGCTCCCGAAGCCTTCATCTGCGAGCTCCGTGTTGTCCAAGTCTACCTCAAGCAGCACTGCTCTTGGTACAATGCTGCCGACCCCAAAGACAACAGTTGGAAAGCCTTTTATAAGCCTTAATCCAACCAAAGCCAAAGCAACTACGAGCACCTTAGATGCACATGGTGAACTGAATCCTACAAAGTCCGGGTATGGCCCAATACCTAAAGTTAAGCCGGTTCCGAAGAAAAAACTGAAGCCCGCAGAGGTTATTATCTTCAACAATGAGCGTTTCGACAACAGCAATGAGTTCCGTTCGGGAAGCGCCAAGGATGTCGAGTCGTTGGAGAAAACTTTTGGCACACTACTCAAGTGTAAGGTGAAGACTATGACGAATCCAACGGTCAATGACATCAGAAACACTGTGGAAAAATGTGAGTCCAAATTCATATGTTCTATAAACAAACTACATAAATAACCCGTCCTCAAAATCTCGACTTAAGACTCAAGAGTTAATTCGTTGGATTGGTTGAGAGTCTATAGCGGATTTAAGTTCTTTTTAATATCAGTTTTAGCTTAGTCCTTCAATAGACGGATTTATTATCTCCTAATATTGTATTACTTTTTTATTTGTTTTGTTTTATTTTAAAATTAGGCCAAGTTTTATAACTTGAATGTCAGCTACTCATACAGTCAATGCATGAATATGTTTACATTTTCTTTTAAACTGGAAAATTTTGAATAAAAGCGAGAGTGCTGCTAAGAAGAAGCTCGTCATAGAATTGTGGGTTAGAAACTTTAATCCCTTTTTATGTTAGATAAAAATTGTTAGTCGATAGTTTTTAAGCGCGATATTGATTGAGCTCCGCTAAAAAATTATAACAATAATTATGAGTATGGTAAATAGATTACAATATGATGGTGATGATGGTAATGCTGTCATAATCTTCGTTAATATTATCATTCTGGAAATAAGATCATTCATATATTCATATGATGCATATCTGTAATTCCGATTTGCAGTGGAACAGAAAAACTTTGAGGATCGCTCAGCACTGGTGCTGGTCATATTGAGTCACGGTCAGCGATATGAAACGATAGCCGCCAAGGATGGGGACTACAAGCTGGATGATGATATAATTTTTCCGATATTGCGCAATCAGACGTTGGCCAACAAGCCAAAGATCCTATTCGTCCAGGCGTGCAAGGGCTCCAGGGAGTTGGGCAAATTCAAAACAGATGCCATCAAGGTAATGTAAATATAATGGTCAATCAATTATTATTACTATTATGCTACCCTTCACACGCAGCCACATGGTAATCCTAGCGAGATTCTCAAATGCTACAGTACCTATGAGGGGTACGTCTCCTATCGCTTGGACACCGGCACGCCCTTTATTCAAACACTGTGTGATACATTAAAGGCAAAACCCAATGTGGACATTGAAACTATTATGAAAGATGTCATGAATCTGGTCAAAAGCTATACTCAGTAAGTCTGCTTAACACTTTTTCTCTGCAATAGACTAATCAATGTTGTCATTTCAGGGGCAGTCAGGTACCATCGGTAACCAGCACAATGACCACCAAATATGTTTTCGGGGATTACCTTTGAACGGCCTCAGTTAATATTTAAAGATGTTGCGGGCTTGGCAAAGGCATATATCAAATCAAGTGAGTCCAATGAGCAGGTCTTCGCTTCTATTCGTTGTATAGTAAATATTGTCTTCATTGCAGGGGTCGGCCAGTATCATCGGTAGCAAGTGGAATGTTATTTGGATTGGAGATGGTTACCGTCAAGTATTGAACATATTCTTGCCTTGTGATCATGTCGAAGATATAGCCAAATCGTATTACCTGTAGACGGACCTAGAGCCAATAAGCAAAAGAGACTGTATACTGATTATAATATGTATTCATTTGTAGGATATTCTGCGAAGAAAAAAACCTACAAACAGCTTTAGTAGTAGTTTATTTTATTTTCATACACATGACCTCTTATTGTAACAAGCAATTTATTTAGCTTAAAATTTTCGTCAATATACGAGTATACGAAACTTCACCATAAGATCCACAATCCTTCTTTTACTTCCACGCATATTACTGTCGAACTAGAAAAAAGATTGTTGATCTTATAGCATCTTTACGCATCCCCTGAATTTGTCGTGCTTATCTTCCGATAGTATGAGAAAACAAGGATCCAGCAATAAATGTTCCAAACTGTAAATAGTATATAAGTAAGTAAAAATGGAAACTCACTTATTAGTGTCTCACTTAGAAGAGTCGTCCGTTTGCGGTACTCACATATTGTAATGGTGCTCGCAACAATTATAATTATGTTGCGGACATGGAAATGAATCGATAACATTATGATCATTATGACACAGATGCACGAATTGACCAGACATGTGATTAGAAAGAATGTCAGCAGTACCGTTGATTGCTATCTGAACGAATTGATAAAAGTCGACGGGTGAAACCGGATGCAAACTTACAACAATAGCTCCGATGATCAGCATGATACATCCAATGCAATGACAAATGGCCATACCGCGCTCAACTTGTGTGAATATTTTTCCTGCGAAGGAGATATATATATATATATAATATATGTGCATATATACATATAGGGGAAAGCTGCGATATTACCTCTGCTGAATATTATAATATTCAAATTAATGATCAAATCGACGACAGCAATTAGATAACAGCCCGTCCGCAACTTAAGCAAACAACAAAATTTTCTTAGAAGAAACATCGTTCAGCTGATGGTATAATTAATAATCGCAATAAGAATGTTGCAGACGGACTCTACCGACTGAGGAATAATCAATTACGTTCAAAATTTAGTACACATGCCTCCAGTAGACCTGGAAATATTTTGATGAATCTATAGAAATTCAATTAACGTAACTGTTAAATATTGGGGCAAGGTTCGAAAACTGCGCAAAGAACAGGGTATTTTAGCAAGTTATGCAACGAATTGATTGTTGCTTTATCGTTAGAGGTCAAGGAAAACGTAAATCGTCAGCTCTGATGCTAGGTCCCCTATGCGATTTGATGTGTCTATCATATAATTTTCATAGATATTATTCGAAAAGGAAATCAAATTTCTGATAAACAGTGTAGAAGTGGGCGTATCGGGAAAATCTTAATACCTAATCAGAAGAGGTAGCAGTATATATTTTTCAATAGCGGCGAAATGATTTAAATACATGCGGATGAGCGGACGGGTAGGAAGACTCTTTCAATAATATAAGCAATAATAATAATAACTATAATAATAACACATAAATTTTTGTGGAGTATTAAATTTATTTTGAATTTCTTTAGACATGATTGCTAAGGCAAGGCAATATAATTGACATCCACATTAGAATTTCATCACAACGATAATCTACTGGCAGCCGTCGACTGGTAACTCAGATGAATAGGCTGCCGCCCAGTGCAGCGTAAAACGAATAGGTGACAAACCAGAAATAGATGCCAAGCACTAGAAGGAAAGGGTAGAGCACATATATTTAGAATATATATAATTATGTGAGTGCAAGTGTGTATGTGTGTGCATGTGCAGCTTACCAAACATAATCACATAGATGATTATAACTGGTATCCAGATAAGCAGTATTATGTCCGAAATGATCAGTATGATCATAGCCAATATCTTTACCATAGTCATCAGTATATAGAATAGCATGCATCCCGGACGCAACTAAAACAAATATGATATATAAATATCTAAAGCGCTATACCAGATAGATATTACTAACCTTTATAGCGCCAATCAAGAGGCACACAGCGCTAATCAAATGCAAAATCATGAATGCAAGAAATAATTTATGGCACAGATCGGGTGTTCCTAATAAAAACGCCGTTCACGAATTAACGAATCCTGTTCATTTAGCTCAAATCAGACAACTCACCCGACTCGCCATATATTGCTATGAGTATTCCGAAGCAAATATCCATTAGTATTTCACTGGCCGCTATAATGAACGTGCCAATGCGCAAATCAACGAAGAAGCAACAATATTGTAAATAGATCATCTTGCTGAAATTCTTCTTCAACTATATCTCTTCACAGAGTTCCTTAATAACCGAATGAGTCTGGGACTGATGTACTCCTTGTGTACTGCTACGGTTCGTGAAGCTTCGTAGAGCGGCACCTCTCTGTGGGCCTACGCTTAATTTGGTTTTCGTGTTTTGCTGTAGTTCCTATACAAATCTTAAATAATTGTGTGTATATAATGTAAGCAAAAACCTATTAAATACTGACAGAAACACAAATATTACTGCATGGACTTAACATCCGATTTGACACTACAAAGAAAGCCTGGCTGATGTGACTGTTTGTTGACTAACATTTGCGAAACTCAGTAAATGAATCAAGATCAGTGCTCTAACCTGGAGCTTACCTTCCATTTCTGTTCGACTGCTGATTGTCATATCATGGGCAGTCAGATCTGGTAAGCCAAAAATGAAGATACACAGACTTTGTGGATTCTGTTCAACAGTTAGTTGGAAAAGGGATGACATCATCAGACTTACACACATAGACATGGTGGATTGCTTTCGAGGCGCAGTGCTAAGCGATCCTTCGATTTCTGTTCGACTGCTGATATTAAATGGGAAAGACGTATATCGTCATATCAGAGGCATTCAGAACTTGTAGGTGGAAATGGTATGAGACATACACAGTCTTTTGGATTGTTTACCATATTTCTGTGTTTATATTTATGTATATATGTATATATGTAGTCACGTATATATTCCTGAGTTGTGAGCTGATGTGTGTTGGTGTTAGTAACGCATTGCAGCACTTGAATATAGACGGATTTCTTTTATCTTTGGGATATTTGGCTTTGTACCCATGCAGAGCTGTTCAAGTAGATTTTAATATCAAGAAGGTAAAGAGTTCGGGACTAAAATTACTCAGCAGATATAATTCAACTCTTTCTCGTATTGTTTAATAAAAGTGTAATATATTAATAATTGCAAGGTATCTTCTAATAGGGCGCAATTCCGACTAGAGCTCTCTAACTTCTTTTTGGTTTGTCGTACTTGATGAATCGCCCTCAACAAGGGGATTTACCTTTCAAGCTCCCTTTATTTTCTTGGTTTTATTGAATCTAAAATAGAGTTTTGTGTACAAAATGTGGGCGTGGCCGCTTTATCTTGTAAATTACTGCATACAGATATAGATACATAACGTTACAGTGCTTACTATTTGCTCTATTGTATTAGACTGCTGTTGGTCCTTCTGCATAATATTTTTTGTCTAGGAAACATATCGACTTAGTTGCTCCGAGAAAAATGTTGCTGTTTCACTCTACATTCGAAGAAAACTTTTTTCCCTTGAACTTAAGGTAAGGGAACAAACGGTAGGTGCTTACTTCCTGTGAACATGAACCTATAATCTATATGGTCAGCTCATTGAGGCATCGCCAATTGGTTAACATCTATTTATAAATCAGCTATTTTTGGACTGTTATTGCTTACTGGATTTGATAAGGGACATACGACCATTTGCCGTAAAAGGTGATTAGAGAACGCTTCGTTGCTTTACATAGCTAAAGGAAAAGATAGGACAAGATAACGATTTATTGGACAACAATAAAACAAATAAAATAATAAAGTCATTCCAAAGCTATTTAGAAACCACAATCAATGGGGTGAATTAAATTTGATGAAAGTAGACAATGTATGATTTATAAAACTCATTCAGAAAGTGATATGATTGTGAATTGATTTATTTTTTAGTAAATGGACAGCAAAATCTGTTTGTCTACTGGAGGCATGAAAAATCGGAAATGCAGCGCTGTTATTTAAAGTGCTAGAGAATTAAAAATTGGAAATTGGTATGCCTACTCGCGTTATAGGAAGGCGTAGCAAATTCTATTTCTGTTTCTGGCTTCTTACGCAGCTCTATAAATGGAAATATATAATAAATGCTTAAACTGAAGTTGATGAGCCCATGGCAAGCCCTAGTCTTAGAATGATAGTTAACACATGAATAATTCAATGTCGTATTTAGTTAATAACGCAAGAAATTTAATTGTGTTAATATATATTTTACATTTATATCCGTATGTATGTAACAATTTTAATTATGTGTCAGCAATATCTTGGTACTGCCAGGCGAGAAGAAGGATTATATTATAGGGTTGATATAAAAAAATAATATAAAAACATAAAAGACATTTTTTTTTTATAAAATCTTATATGTAATCTCCAAAAGCGTACTTGGTCCTCAGTGAGTGGGTTACCGAAGGTACTTGAGCATTGCTGCAGCGAGAATCGGATTAATGACATAAAATTGACAAGGATGGATAAGCAACAGGGCCTTAGACTTACTTGGTCGATTGCATTACCAATAATCGAACACGATCCATATTGGTTACAATGTCGACATGCGGACTTTCCTCTAGTGTCTCGCACAGTTGCCTGACGAAGGGCGTGCCATCTTTCCAGCGATAGGAGACAAATCCCTCATAGCTGCTGAAGCACTTTAGTACATTACAGGGAAGATCGGGAAAACTGGAAACCTGGGCGAACTTTTGAATGAGTAATAATATTTGCTCCAAAGAGGATAATTTAATTACCATTCCTTTAAGTATGGTCACCTCTCTGACGCCCTTACAGGCTTGAATGAACAAGATTTTTGGCTTTCCGTTCAGCGTGTTGTTGCGCGATATGGGATGGATTATATCCGAGTTCAGATCATACGTTCCGTCGTAGGCGGCTATCGTTTCGTGTCGCTGGCCGTGACTCAATATGACCACCACTAAAGCTGAGTGATCCTCCAAGTTTTTCTGTTCCACTGAAAATTGGAATGGTGGCAGCAAGGGTAGTTTGGGGGTAGTGTAAGCTACTCTGGGTACTATGCAGAACACGCCATTTCAAGTTACACTCACGCAATTTCACAGTGCTCCTGACCTGCTTGACCGTTGCATCCTGAATGATCGTCACCCCACACTTGAGCTTCTTGAAGGTCGTTTGCAGCAATTCGACATCCTTGGCGCTTCCCGATCGGAACTCGTTGTTGTTGTTGTTGAAGTGCTCATGGTTAAAGATGACAACCTCGGCGGGCCTAAGTGTTTTCTTATTTGTATTCATTTCAGCCCTGCGCACCTATGCAGATGGACTATTTGAATTGGATCTAGGTAAAGTCAACAATGGACACCAAAGTAAACTGGTACCTCTGAGTGCAATGCGTACCTTACATTCGATGTTCGGCAAGGAACTGAATGGCGTGAAGATATGCAGGGGCATTGATATAGCTGTTTATTGGTACAATTCGAGATACAGAAAGCCCCGATAAGATAGAAGTTCACTGGAAACCAAGTGTGACGTATCCCCCTGTAAGAGTAACTGTGTTGATAAGTCAACACATCCGGTTGCAATTAGCATGCAATTAGTTAAGCTTCGTCTTGGTCAGCTAGAGCTTAGCTTTGTATCAGCATTTAGTGAGCTGATGAGGTTTTTTTCCTTTTTTGGAGATTTCCGTAACAGATATAGCCAAGGGAAAGGTAAGTAACTAAACTGATAAGCCCAATAGGAAACAGTTTGGCTATCTGAGTTTCAATGTGCCCAAGGTCAGGGTTTTTCGTAAGGTCAACTGAACTTCTGGTTTTATTCGCATGTATCTCTAATTATATGAAGTGCTTGGCTTAGGTCCTTACATTCGCAATCGTTCCAAGTCAGCGTCTATAATAGGAATTAGTAAATAAAACTTGATACAGATCTTATTAAAGTGTAGAAAACTGTAGGCGAGACTGCTCGACTAGATACTACTCTGAACCAAACTAAGAAAACAACAGATTCAGTACGGTTCAAAATTTCTATTTCGATATATTTAAAAAAATATAAAACAAAACTCATTTAATTACATAGTGTAATATATATATTTATGTTTATATTTATGTACATATGTGAGAGTGAGAGAGAAATAGAGAGAGAAAGACGGACAGAGAGTCGATTGGTGTAACTTTACTAAGCTGTTAATGTCTATTGTTGTTGCAGTCACTTCCTTAAAACAGTATACCCGACTTAGTTTTTTTCATGGCTGCAGGGTATATGAAAAATCCACATAACGCCAAGCCGTAGGAAAATCGGTTCCAATGACCGTTCATGGCCTAGCATCGGTAGTTTCGAGCACTACCCATACAGGTGTTATGTCATAAATAACTGTCGTATGTAACGCAATCGAGTTTTTTTTTCTTAATTGTTTTTGGCAAATAACGGCGAAAAAAACAACAAATAAAAATAAGGCCGGGAAGTCCAGGAAAGGCAGAGAACGTGCCCGGCTCAACAACAGTCAGCATTACACACAGCACGTGGGGGCGGGGTCGCTGAGGGGCGGTCAGCTACTGTTTGTGCTTGCAATTTCGTTTTCAGTATTGAAATATCGAAAACGAAATTGTGTACAAAACGCGCTAAACAATTCGGGCTCATTTGTATGCAAAGTGAGCTACGGCGATGACGGCGGCAACGCCTCCGTAACGATTGCACTGGGAGGCAATCAGAAATATTATGCAAAGGGCTGCAAGGGGGTCATGCAAACACGATCAAAATCAAAATTGTGGCGGCCCGCTCATATAAAATGGCCCGGCAATGTGACCGATTCGAATCATTCAGGTGTGAGCCAACGACGAGCTGATCCAACAATGAAAACGCAAGTGGCGCTACTTTTAGTCCTGGCGGCCAATGTGGCCATCGTGGTGGCACGGCCGGAGCCGCCTAGGCCACGATATGGCGCACCGCCGCCGCCGGCACCACAAAAGGAATACGGACCACCACAGCCGGCCCAACCGCTGCCCGTCTATGGACCGCCGACTGCTTTCTACGGTCCGCCGGCGGCGCCCACAGCCGAGGCGATCGTCACCAAGAACGTCTATGTGCATGTTCCGCCCGAGGAGCCGGAGCTGTATCCCGCCGCGTCGCCGATCCAGACTTCGGTGCCCAAGAAGCACTACAAGATCATCTTTATAAAGGCGCCGAATCCGCCCACGCCAGTGCGCCAGGTGCTGCCTCCGCCGGTGCAGGATGAACACAAAACCTTGGTCTATGTGCTGGTCAAGAAGCCCGAGGAGCAGCTGCCAGTCATCCTGCCATCGCCCGCCCCAACGGAGCCCAGCAAACCCGAGGTGTACTTCATCAAGTACAAACAGCAGCCAAAGCCAGCCCCCCAATACGGACCGCCTGCCGTTGCCGCCGTGCCAGCCGATGAGTACGGTGCACCGCCAGCACCGCGCACACTGGAGCAGTTCTAAGGATTCTGAAGACTACGTCCCGTCCAAAGACTCATACACACACACACATATGTAAATACTATTTATATGTAATTGCAACGCTCAAGTTGAGTTTATGATATTAAACGATATAAAATATTCCAAATTCTGATAAAGATTTTTAGTTCAGATAATGCTCGTCTTTCATACATGTATATACGTTTACTGTAGGGATTCATGCAGGCTTCAAATTTTTATGTTTTATATGTTTAGATCTTTTATTAAGAATTGCAAATTAAGATATTACTTTATTGTTAAATTATCAGTATTCTGATTCAATTTAGCAATATCTATGGTCTTATAAAGTAACCATTTACATTTGCTTATGCTATCAAAATTCAAATTTTTAATTGAAATTCAGAAAGCCCCAAATGTTATCTGCTTTAATAAAAAAAACTGCCTATACATATAAACCCAGATCAATTGATTGAATTGAATTGTAACATCAGACTGAACTGTTCAGATTAGATAAAAATTTGATTAAATTAGATAACTTATCATATGGCGTTAATTCCAAATAAAATCTTATAAAATATATAACGTATTTACGCGCTACATGTGGATCTATATAGTATCATAATAGGAGTAGACAACCAGGCAAAAGTACAAGCTGAGCACTAGAGGCAAAATGAAAAAAGAAAAGAAAAAGTAAAAAAATGTATTCCTCTATGAAAATATACTGTGAGTCATCTGTTTACCTGCTTGAATGATGTCTAGTACTATAAAGTCGTAGAAGTCTTCCATCATGATGACATAACCGCATTCCCATATCAAGATGATGACATGTACCATGACAACGAATATGTAAGGCAAGAGGAGGTAACGTATACCCTGTAGTTTTAAAAACAATAATAAGATAGGCACTAACATTAATGGGGATACCCACTAGGAGAGCTCCAATCAGGAGAATTATGCAGGAGATAAGATAAATCCCGCTGACGACCAATGCAATGTTGCCCATCAGAGAGTTGCCTGGGTGTACGAGTATATCTCAATGAATGACTTGGCTAAGGACAATCGTCCATTCACTTACGATCCAGAAGAAATCGATCTATGCCGCGTAATATCACATCGAATATTGCAATCAGAATGCAGCCGCATTTCAGCTCAACGCAACAGCAACAATTGTCGGTATAAAACATTGCCATGACACGATATATCAGATATAGAATGGAGTTTACATCAAATGTTCTATATTTATATTTGTATTTGCTTATAAAGTGCTGGAGTGCTCGATATTAAATTCAATCATACTTTACCTAGGTCTTCGATCTTTCAGTGTTTATTTTTGGATCTATGAATTGATGCACGTCTCACTGTAAATTGTATCTATGACCATGACTTACATTACGGCTACGAATAATTATGGTCATTGTTAAGACTCGACATCGAATTCCATTCACGTCTCTTCTTCAAATTTTTGAGACTGCATAATTAATGTATTTTTGGATATTACGCCTTTTGGCAGCAGCAAATCAAACGCATTAGTTGTTGTGAAACTCTTTATAAAATATTATACATTTTGAGTACTTTTTCATGTACCATAATATCTCTGTGTCGAAATCTATTATAGACTGATTTTAAGGAGTTCTGTATAAGATTGAAGTTGTCGCAAATAGACGAACATGTGTCAGATTCAGGTGTATATATCTAAGTATGCATATGGGTATATAAGTTGGGAAATCGTTAGGAATGTACCGATTTCATAAACTACATAGGATAGTCTTTTGAAACACCTTGAACAAAAGGATTGACAAATTCTTAACTGCTGTAATATGTTTCTAAATGAATTAATGTGAATCATTATACAAAACTTTCCCAGAAGATGTTAGATAAGAGTTTTAGATTGAAGACACACTATACGGAGAGAAAAGTAATGGCATCATATTTAATTTTCCTCGTGCCATTGTGGATAGTTCTTCTGGTAATTATGAAAATAGATCGAAGTTCCAAATATCAGCATAACTAATCAATAATAGGACATATTTATATTAATTTTTTCTTAAGTGCAATTTAACATTTCAATAGCTAGATATTGTTTTCGAAAAATGCAAATACCCATCCTTTTTTCAATAGCAATAAAAAAAAGAATAATTCAAATATTAAATTTGATACTTTATTTATTTTTTGTTAAGTTTTAATGTTTTTGCGTAAATTTCTCACAACAACTATTGTACAACTACGTTAATGTAATGCTGTAGGATGCCCCAAGAACGAGATGTTCGGTGTATTTGGTACAGTTGTACAACATTTATTAATTAATAGCCTCTCTCTGCGCTTCTCAGTTCCACAAAAACCAAAAGGTACCAAATGGAAATTGTTTGATGATGTCGACGATGTTCATTGTGTAAACCTACAGCTAAATATAGTTAGATATCGTGTATTTCGGGCATTCAAATACAGACAATACATTTATCGAATATTATAATTACTATATATTGATTCATATATACATATATAGGTTTAAATTGTTTTTCTCATTTTTTGGTGTTCATGTCTTTTTAACTCAGTTCTTTGCGCAACTTTCGGTGCTTTTCATGCTTTTGGGATAACATTATTGAATACACAATTGCACAATTGCAGATATTTCATAGGATAAACAGGCAGATGATATACTATAAGTATGCTCTGTATAACGACGCGACAAATATAGGAATGCATTTGAAAAGTGTGTGAGCGCTAAGTAAAGTAAATGTTGAATTTGTTTCCCCGTGTTGGAGTATCAGTAAGAGTATCAACAATATCGGTGAGGCATTCGAACTCCGATTGTGTATCATTATCTTTTAAGTTCATCTTCCTATTTGCTTGTATTTGTACTGGTATGGAAAATATATTCTGATGTAACTGTAACGGCTACTAAAAACACGAACAACAAACAAATATTTTTGTATATCTCTGCTAATCAACAAACTGAACCAAGTCTTTGCCTTACGCCTCCTCGCACTCATCCTCCTCGTTCTGCACGAACAGCCGATGATTGCGTGCCTCCAGTATAGACCATACCACGAGGGGCGTACAGCCCAAGACCATGCAGGAGCCCATGCAATAGAAACAGATCTCATAGTCCCCGGACAGATCCCTCAGCAGACCCGCCAACGGCGGCACCGATATGGCCCCTATGCTTTGGAACATGCGCACCAAGCCGTAGCTGGAGCTAATACGATCCGTCCCAAAGACATCTGCCAGCAGCACGGGCATCAGCACATACCAGCTGCCCAGGCATAGTCCATATACTGCCGCTGATAAACCCACCAGCACCAGGGTCCTGGCAAAGGGTATTGTCAGAACGGCCAGACCAGCGCCGAGGATGCTAGAATAGAAATGTGAAAGTAAGTTCGACTATATACGAAATATTAAATTTAAATAAATAACTTAATTTTTAAATTTAATGATTATGTAAATTAGAGAGGATAGATATTATAATAGATAGATGCAATAAAAAACACATTCTTCAGCATCAGAATCCAATATGTGATTTAAGTATAAATGTTTTTACTTTAGCCGACTTACCATAGTGTATAGGTCTTCTTACGGTCAAACAGCTGCAGATCTGACAGCCAACCTAGGCCCAGGCGTCCACACAGATCCAGCACAGCGCTGATGGCCACCAAATACCCCGCTTCGCTTTTATTGTAGCCTAGAAAAAGAAGTAGAGTCTATTATATCTAAATATGTATTATATTGTAATTGTAAATTACTAAAGCCCTATACTTTCATAGTTGTTGTAGTCTATTACAGATAGACTTTGACTTTGTAAATATTATTGGATAATAAAAGAACACGTTGCTCGATATCTTCAATCAAACTTAATCACATACCCATATACAGATAAGTATGTTTTCTATTCCTTAATTTCTCTATATCGAATTTAAGAGACATCAGATTATCACCATGACAATCGCAATTGCTTTCCTCATCATTCTTTAATTATCTAGCAAAGATTATTCTTGGTTTTAACATACGATTCGGCTCTACTCGTACTACAACCCATATATGATTTACGAATGTAGCTAGCTTGAAGAGTGATTGACCCACCGATAGATATGACATGCGCGGGCAGATAGTAGAGCATGTAGGGACAGCCGACAGACATGAGCGTTACGGATAGGCACATCAGTATGAACCGGGGCTCCTGCAGCAGACTGATGTCCAGGTACATCTCAATGCGTGCGCAGCAGCTGCGCTTCAGCTGGCGCTCGTCATCGTCATCCTCGTCAATGGCGTCATTGTCATCGTCGTCGTCGTCAAAGACGGCCGCGGACTCCAGGAGCTGGGAGTCCAGAATGCTGCCATCCGATGGCTGTTGCTTCAGCTCGCTTAGGTTGCTCACGGGCGTGGGTATCTCCATGCTTTTGCTGAGACCGCGGCTGACCACGCTCGGTGGGGAGAGCGGCTTCTCGAGATGGGCATGGATCTTGCTGATGGTCTCGTCATTGGCAAAGACGTTGCGACGTCGCCGACTGCCGCGATTCGAGTCGGTGCCTGAGTGCTTGCGATAGACCCAAGTGGAGTCTGTGCTCAGATCCTCCACGGAGTGCAGTAGGCCGGAACTGCGCACCTTCTTCATGGGCTTTATAAAGGTGGTTTCGCCAATGATGTCCTTCACCTCATCATCGCTCTCCTGCGCCGACTTGTCTTGAGCTGGCGAGCAATGAACAACTGCAGCATGAATTGCTTTGGCCTATGCCCAGTAACTCACCTGGCTGCTTGCTGGCGTAGTAGTTCAGATGATTCTTGCACTCCTCGAGGAACAAATGCTCTATGAACTTGTCGTTGAGCTCATCGGCGCCCACCTCACAGGTGCCCAAGTACGTGGACGTCGTCAGCATGCCCGTAGTGCTGGGATTGATGTCATCACTGTTGGGCTTGCCAGCCGCATCCTGCTCCTGCGCCTGCGCCTGTGCCTGCTCGGCATAGTCGCTCAGCGGTCGGTACAGAGTGGCCGAGACACACACGTGCAGCATGCAGCCGCCCAGTATGAGTATCGTGCCATGGAATCCGCAGCTCTCCGCCAGGTGCTTTATCAATATGGGTAGCACGAAGCTGCCCGCCGCCGTGCCCGACACACAGATCCCGTTTGCCAGGGCGCGGTGCTTGTCAAAGTACTGCGAGACAATCACAATGCCTGGGGTCGTGGAGAGACCACCGCCAATTCCTAGAAGGTATAGTAAATACTAAGTTTCTTAATTACCTCGGTAATTGTAATAGATAATTATTGAAGATTGATCATTATAATTACTTGAAAAATACAAAACAATTGTGAGAATCGGTTAACTATTTTGGATTGGATGGAAGAGTTACTTTGATACCTATCTAAATATGTGTATCTGAATATCTAAATTCCTTAAGGATTGCAGCTATCTACTAAAATTCCTCATGTAATAGGATATATACAAAATCATTTCATATGTAAACTTAAGTAATTGCGTCTATCGAGTTTAATAACTTAATTAATGTAATATATATATAATCATTTCATTAATTACTTAAATAAATGCATCTATCAAGTTCAGTTATAGTAATAGGATCTAATTATTACATATCTGAAATAGTCCATTAATTGTATCAATCCAGTTTAATTACTTAAGTAATTGGATGTATGGCAGCTGGAAATTACCATATCTCAGAAAACTACAGCTTATTTAACTTGAAGTTTCGATTATATAGTCGGGCTGACGATTTTTCTCAAACACATAGCGTTGATATATCTCATATAGGGATCGAGTTAAATGGAGTAAGACTCTGTTCGATATTTTACACTGTTTCTAAGGAGTGGCTTAAATGATATAGGCACAATTACAGTACAAGCTGCTTTTTATGTAGTTTTACTGTACTGTAATTCCTAACGAATTAACTAAATCTTCATTAGTCGTTGTAGTCAAGTGGTTGAGATCTCTCTCGCTTATGCGCTTACCTGTAAGAATGCCAAAGGTGAGGAGCAGGTGCAGCAGGCTGGTGGCGAAATAGCTGAGCACCATGCCCAGAGAGCAAAAGATGCCGCCCACAAAGACAACGGAGCGGCAGGAGAAGCGCTGGCAGAGCGCGCTCGAGAGTGGCGCGAGGACGAGACAGAGCGCTGAGAGGATGGCTGGTATCCAGGAGGCCACAGTGGCCGTGGAGCTGGGAAAGGTTTCCATGATCTCTACATAGAGCACGCCATACGACTTGACCAGTCCGGCGACCCAGAACTGCACAGAGAAGGCGCCGAAGACAATGAACCAGCCGTAGCCACCGTCCGGTGGCTCCGCAGCGCAGCCGCCGC